GTCTGGCGGTGTCTTTGTAGTGTGTTCCGTCTGACCCACTGTATGTGTTTCCGTTGTCGTTATCCACACGTGTTTTCTGGCTCGTTACCTCGGTGAGCTGTACCGTACTGACACCCCATGCTGTCCAGTATCCATGTTGATGGTTTTTGTCCACCCAAAGCACTTGTGTTGATGAGGGCTACATTTGAATCAGGAATGTTTAAATGAGACTGAATTTGAGCTGGTAACAATGCAGAATCGTTTCAGTTTCTTTGAGCAGTGTAAAACTTGCTGATGGCGAAATGCTTTTGGTTTGATGCTGAAAATTGATCTGAAGTGCTGAGTGGCAATACCGCCGCTTGAAAAGAGTTTTCGCTTGGAAAGGTTTTTGGTTACCTCACTTGGCTGATTACACATTGGCCCAGTTGCTTACATGGATAGCTCGCCATTCTAGTTTAGCTCACTGGAACCATCTATCCGGGTGTATTTTTACAGAAAATGGCACGATTGATCTCTGGCGAGCTAGTCTGAATGTGCACGCCTCTGACTAATGAAATCCATCCTTGCGGCGATGTGCGCTGCAGCGGTATAGAGCCGCGATTGACTATCTGTAAAAGCGTGCCGCCGAAGGAACTCTTTCACGTGCGCTACTCGATGTGCGGAGGTCGGGTTCATGCGGCCAGAATCCGGACCAAAATAGACTGCTCATCAGAGACGTGTTGCGGTTCAGTTACGATGGTTTCCTGGACGTACTCCGGTTTGTTGTCAATGGTTGCCATGGCAGCGAGCCAGCTAGAGTAAATATAGGATAGCAAAGCACCTATGATGTCACAGAGACTGTTGTCATTGAGCCTGCCTCAAAGCCGAGCTAGCATCTGAAAAATCTTCATGGTTCTGGCACGAACAGAAGCACTCCTATTCGAGATCACCCTTCGTTTTGCATGGATGCACCCTTGCTTGCATGGCGCGTTCTCACTGTTATGCGCCCATTCAAAGAACTGCGGTCGGTGGTGGCGTTAATTACCAGTACCTGGGTCATTTACTTTCAGCAATATTCCAGTCACCAGACGGCGACATACAGCAGCTGGCGCCGCCTGGCTCCCATTGGCCAGTTGTATGGGTCGCGTGCCCGCGCGCCGTTGGGTAATGACGTTTTGTGTCGGTGTCCGGTAATGGCGAGTGGTCGATGACGATTATGTTTGTTCGGCCGGACGCAATTACCGCGCGCTGCCCCAGAGTCTGCGTCGGGCATTATTCGATGGCGCACGGTGCGTGCCCTGTGCCTTATTGTCGGTCCTGTTTGGATGGATGATTGCTAGGGAGTTCTCAGAAGAAGAAAAACACCGAGGACAGAAGGCAATTGTTTGGTAGAGGAGATGCAATTAGCCTGAGGCAGTTGTCCTAGTTCTCAGGACTTTATTGTGATAGGTCTTGCGTGCAGTAAGTAGATTCTGATGCTGCTGTATCGCATACATGATATTCTCATGTAATAGGCATATGCTATGAAACTTTGTGCATTAGCATAAGCAATAAGCGTACCTAGCTAGTAGGTACTATCTTTAACTACATACCTACATGCGCGGCTTTTGCGAAATTTCTCCAAGTTTGGGTCGCTCCATTCATCCTTGAGTTTTCTTTGCACCTATCCCTTGAACTTTTCTAATTGGAGAAGTGATGTTAATCCCCGATTGGCTTGTGTTCTAGTCTGACTATGCTAGCCTGACTATGCTATATGCTGCACTATGCTGTCTGCTCCTCTGACCGAGCCCAGCCGCCGTCCTGGCTCCGGTCCCCTCCCTGGTCTCGTCTGTACAGGTGCCGGAGCGTCGGCGACGGCAGGCGGAAACAAAAGATACAAAGGCGGCTCACTGGCGGCGGCGGCGGCGGCTGGCGCGTCGCCAGAGGAGCCAGCCGCGCGGCGAACACTTGAGCCGCCGACGGTCCCCGCCGGCTGCCAGCGCGGCCGCCGCCGACACCGACTCACGGCGCGGCGGCGCTCTGCGGAGCTCACCGCCGCCGCGGCGGGCCGAGCTCCGGTCCCGGCCGACCGGGCGGCGCCGCGGGCCGACTCCGGGTCACGCCAAGAGCAGCGGATCAGTCAGCTGCGTTCGGCGCAGCTGATTGATGCGTGACGTGCTGCGGTTAACTGCCGACGGGTCGGCGCCCGCGGCGGGAGACGACCGGCTTCCGGTGACCTTTGGAGAGCCGAGCGGCGGTAACCACTCTGCGGCCGGTGTCGGCGCTCTCGGCCGGGTATTTCTGTCGACGCTGAGTAGCGCTGACTGAGCGCCTCCGCCAGCCTTCCGGCGACGGGAGCCGGCGGGAACGACACACGGTACCCCCAGCTGGCTCTGTCCGAACCCCACAGATGGCGGCGACACGGCGGCGCTGCACTTTACCCCCATCATGTGCGGCCGCCATGAGTGCGATTCCCCGGGGCCGGGCGGGACAATGCCGCCGGCGCCGGGTCGATGTGCCCGCGGCGCAGCTGGTGCGCTCTCGAACACACAAAGACGGCGGCGGCGGCCGGCCCGAGCGCACCGAGCGCCGGGCGGCGGCGGAGGCTCTGTCACGCGCCGGCCTGTTAGCTAATTGCATCGGACAATCACGGCGGTGCTGGCGATGGCCGGCGGCCGGTTCGGGCGCCGACCGGTCGATCGGACGGCGCCCCATCGATCGACTTCGACGCCGGTGGGTGGGGGCTCGGTCGGGTTGGGTTGGAGGGGGCTAGCAGCGGCGAGGGTGGTGGAAAGTGACAGCGCGGAACCCCGCCCGACCCACAGCCACCGTACGCCGCGAGCGCTCCGATTCGGCGCGGACGTATCGGGTGTCTGCCCTGTTCCGGTCGGCGCTGGCGTAGGAATATCCGCCTGTCGCGGCCGCCGGTCGGTCGGTGGCGGGGGCTTCTCTGTTCGTCCGGTGTCTGGTTCGCCGGCCCGGGTCGGTCGGTCACGGCAGCATCACGGTCGGAGCCGGCCGCTGTGTTCGTGTTGACGTTGGCCACCGCCGTCCGACGCGGCGGAGATGGGAGCGCCGGGGATCGAGGGCTGCTGGTTCACCGGACCGGGTGGAATCACGGCAGAGCTGACGGGCGTGTCGTTAAATCCACCGCCGGCGTCCCAGCGGCAGTGGCGTCCCACCTGCCTCTGCCGGCTGGTGGAGGGGAGGGGACGGCGCGTGCCACCCCTCCCCTCCCTCCCCTCCAAATTGGCACGCGCCCGGCGTCGGACCGGTCGGTGGACCCCTCTGATGAATGATCGCTCCATGTGCGGTGTTCGTGAGTGGCGGCGGGGCTGACTGTGCCGTCACCGAGGGGAGCTGACAGACGCCGGCCGATCGTCTGACAGGCAGCCGGCTGTCAATGACAGCTGTCGGCGCCACTTGCTGCCGGCTGACAGATCTGGGCACCTGCGCCAGCGGCGGGTCGTCGGTGTTTTGTCAGCGGCGCAGCAGCGTTTTTGTGACGGCGGCTGCTGCCGAACGGCCTGTGCCGTTTCGTTCTAGCTAGATAAGTAGGCACTCAGCGTTGCATGCTAGCCAGTAATTGGAATCGTTGAGGACGATTTCCGGCTGAAGATGGTTTCATCTGTTCTTGTAATGGTGCAGAAGGGATTCTGTCTTTGTTCCCGTATATTGGATTACGGCCCCGCTGGGATCAGACCACCGCTGTTGGAACTGGTCGCGGACCAGTGTAGGCACCTGCCCGGTCTCTGGCCGCCGTCTCGCCTCTGCCATTCACAGCGCCGCTCTGTACGGCGTGCTCGTGCAGGGCCCCGCCCCGTCCGCGGCAGACCACGCCTGGATAATGGGAGCTCGGCCGCCGCCGATGACGTCACGCTCGGCCATCAGCCCGTCCACCGCCTGCGTCATGGACCCACTCCGGGAGACCGGATCGGCGGGGAGAATCGATTGCCGGGGCGCCGCCGGCGGCAGAGCCACGTGGCGCCCACCGGCGACCGTTCGGGAGGACTAACCAGATGACCGGCCCGGGTCAGGTCCGGGAGGAAGAGGACGGCGAGGGCGGGCCGCCGCCGACCACTACCTGTCGCTGCAGAAGTGCTGCCTTTACGGCCGGCCGTGCGCCGCGCCGCGCCGGGCCGGCTCCGCCCCTCCGTGCCGGCCGGCCGGTCGTCAGGCGGCCGGTCACCATCGCCGGAGCGGGGGCGGAGCACTGTGTGCCGACCTGAATGGGTTACGGCCCGGACCTCCACCTAACGACGCCGTCCACATTGGACCACAGCGGTCCGCCGCTGAATAGGCTCTCTTTGGCCGCCGCCCACGGCAGCAGAGCCTCCTCTCGGCCATTGTGGCCGCACGCGAACGGCGGCTGACGGCCCAGGACGGGCTCCGAGACGCAGATGTGGTGCGGCCATTTTCTGCGGCGTGTCGGCGCGGAACTGCGTCGCTCTTACCGGGGATTTGTGGGGATTCCTTGTGAGGCAATCTCATAAGACTGGAATGGCCGGCCGGCCGGTGTCGGGTGCGCGGCGACGGCGCTGAAATGAAGGCACGACATGGCGTGCGCGGCGGAGATGTTCGTCTGGGGATTAATCTAGCCTTGTCTGAACGTGTTCGAACTAGGGCGGACGTGTAGGAGCTTGACTGTGGCTGTGCCCCTCTGTGGGCTGTGTCGTCCTCTGTGATCTGTAAGGTCGTCTGCGAGCTGTGTGATCCTGTGTGTCTCTGAATATCCTGTGTTCGGTGGCTCCCTCCGCTGGCTCGGCGGCAGTGTGAGTTGACTCAGAGTGACAGCTGTGGGTGGCGCCGTGTCGAGCGCGGCGGCCGTGTGGGCGTCGACCGACGTGTCCTTCCATCCGTCCGTCTGTCTGTCTGTCTGTCTGTCTGTCTGTCTGTCTGTCTGTCTGTCTGTCGGCGTGTCGCAGGTGTTGGATGATGTCTCACACACCTGTCCTGTCGGCCTCTGCCGCCCCCTGTCCCCTCCCCCGTCCCCATCCCTCTCCCGGCCGACCGCTCCCCGCTACTGACGAGTCGCCGGCCACCGTCCCCCGCTCCACCCTCAGACTCAGTCACATCCATGATGAACGGCGTCGAACTAGACGGTCTGACGAGCAACGGCGGCGTGCACGCCGCCTCTGGGGCCGACTCGAAGCCGGTCTCTGGCGGCTCGCCGGGTCAGCAGCAGTGCCACACAGAGGAGTCCAAGACGAACCTCATCGTCAACTACCTGCCGCAGACCATGTCACAGGAGGAGATCCGCAGTCTCTTCAGCAGCGTCGGCGACGTCGAGAGCTGCAAACTCATCCGCGATAAGGTCACAGGTGAGATCTCGGGGAGGGAGTGGGGGTGGCTGGAGTCGACCGGGGCCCGGCCCGGCGCCGAATGCGATTTGTTAGTGGGTGTAATCGGATAGATGAGGGGATATCGGACGGACATTCGGTTGTTTCTCTCCGCTAGCTCGCCCGTCGTCGCCTGTCGGTCGGCTGATTTGTTTGGTTGTTTGGTTGTTAGTTGAGATGGAGTTTGTTTGTAGTAACAAAGTTTGCAGGGAGATATCATTATGTGATACATCATGACTGATTGCTTTCTGAATGAATATCAGTTACGTTGCGAAATGGATATTGATAGCGTTGGGAAACGAGTTGAACTCTGTGAAATTCCGACGGGTGATTCACGAACAATGACGGGTGTATTTCCCAGCGGATTATAGATCACCAACTGCATTTCACAATAAGTCGGTATGTTGTCTAAAATAAGACCAATGGACCTGGCATTCCTTGCACTGTTCGATCGGCCCACTGACAGTGGGTTCTGAACGCCCCGTTATCAAACCGTCGGCCGCGGGGGCCACTGGAGGAACCCTGATGGCCGGACTCACCCACTCATCTTTGATGTGAGACCGGGCGCACCATTGGCAGGAGGCGTAGGGCGGGCTGGCCAACCGTGACGTCCGATCGATGCTGTTTTCCCTCGTCCGGAGTCTGTTTTCACCGGTCAGAACCAAAACAGACCCGGCCAACCTATAATCACAGCTCCTGTTTTGGTTCGTTGATCCTTAAAAACGCACTCTGAATTCGCACTGGCCGTTACAAGATATTCTCATTTGCGAACTACTGTTTAAGGCCGTCCTGTGCTGTTTACGTTTGAATATGAAAATCAAATGAAACCTGCGCGGCTAAATATATGGAAAGTAACTGCAGCTGCAATATTATGAAAAGCAGTCGAACTGTGATGCAAGTTCTCCGGAAAGTCCTCGAGTGGTAGGGCGGGCGCAGCCGAGATTGTCTGCCGAAATAGTTTGACTGTCTGCCCAGCTCTGTCTGCATCGGTGAGACCGCGTCAATTTTGCTCATTTCTGAAGATTACCTCACTGCAAGACGGCTGGCAACTATAGTTCGTTTTTTTCTAAGTTCGACCCTCACTGTAAACATCTTTTTTAACAAAGCACGAGAATTGCTAGCTGAATTACTTAAAAAAACTGGTTAGCGCACATTGTACTAGAGATACGAATAATATTTTCCAAATAAGTTTTAACACCGATAATTATATACCCTTCTGTTAAACGCCGTACGATTTATTGACTAGTTCAATTATAATTTCTGATAAGTCGTCTTTCCCTGTGGGGTTGTATATATAGGCAAATACGAGCTAGGAGTCTGGGAAATAAGAGCCAGGAAGAAATACTTTTGAATAAATTAATCGTCTGTGAAATCAATGTGCGTCAGTCAGTTTTCTCAGTAATTCAGCTAGCAATTCTCGTGCTGTGTTCAAAGAGACGATTTGAGTGAGGGTCGAACTTAAGAAAAACGAACTATAGTGTGAAGTGGTGGGCTCCTCTAAGTTTGAATGACAGCCCACTCACATGCTGATATCCCGCGCTGATTCATCGCCGGGAAAGTAGTTTCATTTGATTCGGCGATCTTTGGACGACGTTCCTGGCAGGCTGGCCGGGTTTCTCACTTTCGAGCTCGTCTCTTATCAGCGGCCGCTGCAGGGGATCATACGAACCCGATCGATTCAGTTACCCGGGCATCAGCTAGGGTCGGTCGGAACTGTGAACCTTCCGGGCCCGCTATCTGCTGGTGTGATGAGCTGTATGCTAATTACCGGCCAACTTTGGGCTGGTAACCGGATTACCTCGTCAGGTGTCGGCCGGCCGGGCGAAGTTGGCCCGCGCCGCCGACCCGCTCGGCGCCGGGCGTGGGCCGCTGCTTTGGCTAGCAGCTTGCACCGCCACAGGACGAGCTGTGGCAGCTCTGAGTATCGCGCCTCCGCCGGCACCACCGCGCGATGACGGTCGGGCGTTCGATGACGGTCTACCGGTGCTTCGATGACGCTCCGGTGACTGGGCCGATGACGCGCTGGCTCGGTCGCGGGGCGTGCCGCCGCGGCTGCCGACCGAGCGGCGCGCGGCGCTGATGGCATTCTCCCCGTGCCGCGAGAGGCACCCGCTATACCGTCACGTGCAATTGAGTTTGGCATGCGGAGACGGCGGGGTATGGCCGTCAGTTATCGTCCGATGCATGCGCTTCAGATGCCGGCTGGCGGGGAGGACGGGCGCTCTGTGTGGTCGTGCCCGGCGCCCTCTGCGCCCCCAGCGCGCTCGGCGCCCGCTCGAGGAGCTGGCGCGCGCCGTAGCGCCCCGTCGTTTGGCGGCCACAGCTTCTTGCACGGACGCTCCGCCGCCGCGGTCGACATAGCCCGTGTGCAGGCGACGTGGCGCCGCCATATTTTTAGCTGGGCGGGCGCGGTCTCTGTGTCTGTGTGCCGAGTTTGGAGACGATACCGGGCAGGCGGTGCTGGTCCGGGCGCCAGGCTGACGGTGACCGGGTGCCGTCTGAGCCCGCCCGCCGGACATGGGACAAATGGAGCTGTCGGACAGCGGCCGACAGAGGCGACGGACCGAGACCGAGCGACATGTTTCACTCTGTACCGACCCTGGCAGGGACAGACAGGCAGACGGGCGGCTGTGGTCGCTGGTGCCGCCCCCGCCGCCTCCGCCGCCCCCGTCTCTCTGTCTGTCTGTCTGTCTGGGATGAGATGAGACGAGAGCGTCCCATCACTCCCCTGAGATGGAACGTCGCTCCCGACGGAATGGCTCCGCGCCGTCCGACGGCCGACAGTCGCCGACGGCGGCGGCGGACGATGGGCCTGTTGCCTTTCGGCGAAGTCGGCCTGTGTCGGGAACGTTCGCCGTGTGTGTGCGGAATGGCTATCATGAAGCGGATTTGCACCGGTCGAAGAACGGCGCGGTGTCCGACGCTGCGCAGTGACTGACCGGTGACGTTTCGGGACCTGCCGTGACGTGACACGACTCCGTGTGACGGTGTGGGCGGCGTCACGTAGCCGTCCGCGCCCCGTTGGCCGGGTGAAGTTGAGCCACGCGCGCCACCGGCTACCGGCGGCTGGCTGTCGAGCCGTATTGCATGAACCCAATTTACTGCCTCCGCTAGCCGGCGTTATTGGACCATGCAGCCAATGGCTTGATAGATGGCCATGGAGAGTGGTTTGGTTATCGCAGAAAACAGCAGCGCAGCGGCGCCGCGGACCCATGCAGCTACAAGATCCCGGACTTTCCTGGCTGGAGAGTCGATTTATCGCCCGATTGCGAAGCACATTGATGGTGCATTGCTGAGGAGCTGGTCGGGAGCCGAGCTGCGAGGGCGTGGTATGGTGTATCGCCTAGTTGTGCCGTCTACAAGATGGCGACATTTCTACTGGGTTGGTTTCTATAGCTGTCGGGCTCTGCTGTCAGCTTTTGAAAGTCTCCGGCACGGCACGAGTCTGAACCATAGCAGACCGGGAATTCAATTGAAGACGCGGCATAGGTGCGTCATCGGTGACCTTTGATATGGGGAGGGTGGAAGGGTTCTAACAGGACAAGCCAGCTGCGAATTTGACTTCCCAACCGACTCGATACTGTTGAAATGTTTTAAAGGTCGGTCAGCAAGAACTGTTGTTGAATGGACTCTGAGACGTGGCGTGCTGGTTTTACTTGACATTTAAAAACACAGACGTTAATCAGATTAAGCTCACATGTCTAGACGCATTCAGCCATGCCATTAACATGTGCTGTATTGCAAAATTATCACCGCAGTTTTAGGCGCTGGCGACTCCGCTGCTCCTGGCTAGCTAATGCCGTGAAGTTGCCGGTAAGAGACACAACACTGGCTGGAGACAGGCGCCGTCTCCAGGGGCCCTGGGTGTATGCCCATCCCCCGACCGCCTCCCGTACCGCCGCCGCCTCCGCCGCCGCCCTGTTTACGGCCGGTGGCCCTGCCAAAATAGCTACAGCTAGCTGTGTGTTTAGCGGCTGCCCCGGCCCGGGTCGGCTCAGCCGGTAGAGGCCCGCCGGCTGTCACCGCCGCTCTCAGCCCGCATCGTCCCGTGGTGTCTTCCGTGCGGCACTGGCGCGCAGGGAGAGATGGGGGCGGCTCGGGCAGAGACCGAACTCAGAGGGAGACTCTGGGCCTAGTTGGTGAGGGTTGTAAACGTGTGAAATAGCGGCATTAGACCCGCAGGGAGGAAGGGAGGCGGTGCTGGCCCTCGGGCGGCAGGCTGACCAAAGAACCCCTCCATTGACTGCCCTGGCGTATTGACTGGTGTATTGACTGGTGTGAGAGTGAGAGAGGTTGACTGGTGTGAGTGAATTGACTGTTACCGCACGGAGTCATTATGCCGGCCGGCCAGTGCGGGGTTCCTCGGCTAATGGTGTGGCCGCGTGGCGCTGGTCGGACGTCATCCACCCTGAGATGGTATCGCTGTCGGCTGGCCGGCCTCGGGCGGCGATGACGGTCAGCTAAACGGCGGCAGGTGACGCGATGACGGATGGCCTACGGACGTGGCCTGGTGTCGGTGACGGTTCGAGCTGTCACACACGCCGTGCGTCACCTCACGCAGCTGGGTCGGCATGAGGTGTGAGAGACACGACAGACCGAGGCGTGGTGCCGTGGCCGTCCGTCCGTGCTCCTGGCACCGACCGCCGAGCCGCCAGCCGCCGACAATTACTGCCTCTGAAAGCCGTCCGCGCGGCTGCGGTAACGACCGCCGGCTGTGCGGCGCTCTGGGACGCTCTGTGTCCGAGCGGCTATTTCGGGTGGCCGGTGGGTCACTCTGAGTGACGGCGGCGGCGCGTCGTCCCTTCACAGTCCGGTGACGGCAGCGTCGACAGGACGCCGCCGCTGGTGGCGGAGCGCGCCAGCCGGCGAGGATGTGTGCCAAGCTCTCTGCCCCAGACTCCGGCGCCGCGGCCGCCCGTGTGTTTGGAACTGGCGGACGCTCAGACGCAGCGGAACGATACACACGGGGAGCTGAAACCAGCCGACTGCGCCGCGGGTCGCTCCTGGAATGTTTCAGCGCCGTCTGGGAGGAAATTCCACCGAACTGGTGCCAACTTCTGCGTCGGAAGACGAAGTAATGTTGTTTTGTTTTGGACACCATCTCTGCAGACAACAAACAGGTCTCGGCGGCGGCCCTGGCGCCGGCGCTACACAGTTTGTCTGATGAAGTTTCCGTGTCGGTCGGACGTTGAGCGATGTGGTCGTGGAGGGTTGGTCGGTGGGCCTGCCGCCTCTGGGCCGGCCGAGATGACGTGTGCCCCGGTCACGGCCGGTGGTGGTAGACAGTGGACGCTGACCAGACGCTCCGGGCACAGCGCTGGGCACCCGCCGTCACATCAGATTAACCACCGACCGCAGCCGTCTGGGACGTCGCCGCTGCCTGCGCCGTCGGCCCACTCCCAACATGGACCATATGCCGGTATATGGCACACTGGCCCAGCCGGCGGCCTGGTCCGAGACACCCCGCTCCAGCTCCAGTCAGTAGTCAGTGGCCGGACCCCCGGCTGCGTGACCCGCCCCGTCCTCCGTGTTTCTTTTGGAGCCGCCCGCCGGCCGATGATGAATGCCCAGTTAACACGTGGTGGAGTTACGGCTGCATTCATCAGCGCTGATGGTGGACGGCCCGTGGTTTAATCATTCCGGCGAGCACCCCTGTCACATGAGTCATTATGAGACTCGACCGGGCTGATTATATAGCCACTGTCAAAATTGGCGTGGGAGATAAACGACATATTTAAACACGTGTCGTAAATAGCGTATCAACGACAAATTTAGCGGTTATGTCCGTTCAAAAGGCGTAGAAGAGTTATAGGCACACTAATGAGAAGTAGGTTGTTATTTAGTTGTGTTAAAAATACAATGTTTAAATATCTACTCTAGGTTGCGGGCGCTGATGTAAGGGCCCATTACTGAAAGTCAGCCTTCGGTTGAACTGATGCTTATGTAACCGGAGTATGGGTGATTGTTATGCTTCAGGATTTCCCTGGGAGACATGATAAATAGCATTGCTGCCAAGCCGACATTCTAATGCTCATCCTGCCAGATATTCTGCCATCGCTCACTTGTTCCTTTAGCCTGGTTCGTCTGCTCTTCCTTGAGTGCATTCACTTGGCTCATTGAACACAGTGCATCATTTGTTCTTAAGTGTGTTTGCAAACTTATGAGCCCCGTGTATTAGCGCCTTGCACCCTCGGTCCGAGTCTGACCCCACCCTCCTCTCCGTGTGCCGCAGGTCAGAGTCTCGGCTACGGCTTTGTCAACTACCACAAGATCGAGGACGCCGAGAAGGCCATCAACACACTGAACGGACTGCGGCTACAGAACAAAACAATCAAGGTAAACAGATGGCGGAGGCCTGAATAGAGCGGGAGGGAAACGACCGCCCTGAATCGGGCCCGGAGTGGGATACATTGTGAGGTGGAAATGAATGCAACAGTTTGTGCCGCCTTTCCAGTTTCATTTCTCCGAGCGGCAGCTTTTAAATCTCCCCGGATTTTCCCGCCGCTGCTTTTTGGGATAACTCCGCGGGGAATTTTGCCTCTAGCGCTGCAGAAATTAATGGCTGAAAGCTGTTTTTAAGATGTGTCGCAGAAAGTTGGCGCTCTTGACGCTGAAAGGCGCCGGGAGACGGATGGAGCGGGCTTTTTACCGTGGAGAGCTGCGCAGCTCGGCTGATGGTGCGTCTGCCGCTCTGAGTCGGTCGGCCGCAGAGTGGTGGCGGGGTGGCGAGGTTGTTGTTTTATTCATGGCGGCGTCCTCAGCGCGGTGCGGTGGCGGCGGGTCCGTTGTGTCGCGTCGGCAGCGGCGGCGGCGGTGGCGGCTCGATCGGGCGTGGCCGCCGCGGTCGATAGGCCGGCGGGGGCCTCTGGTGACGCCACGAGGCGCGCGCCGGGTGGCAGGCCAGCGCTGGGCGCCGCCGGCCTCCGCGAACAGCCCGGAGCAGCACTCTGTCGCCAAAGGAACCGTCGCTCTGTAGCGTAAACAGTCCGAGGCATCGCTCTGGGCACCTCCCTCTGTATTCCAAATAGACGGCCGTCCTTTAGCACTGGGCAGCCTGAGGCGGCAGCCTGTATTTATCTGTGTTCATCAAATGGGCTCGTTCAAACGCTCTGGACCTGGCAACTCGGGAATATTGCAACATATGGGTCCAAACCGCTGTTGCGATGGCGTGGCCGTTCCTCCAGGTCTCCTGATAAGATCGGACACGGGGCCTTGAGAGTGGCGTCAGCGTGTGCTGGGTGTCACGGAAGATGAGGTGTACGACCACTGGACCCGGTGAACCACCCATAATGTCCCTCAGCTCCGCCGCAGCTATTTACCATGCACCGGAAAGAATGGACCGCACAGTCACGAGTCTGATCAGTCTATGAGCTGCTGTCGGGTGGTCTTTGCGTCCCGCGATTCGTCCCAGGCGCGCATATGGTCGCAGCGGTGCTCTGCATACACAAACTGCGCTCCATAGGGCAGATAAGCACCGATGCACACTGGAGGTGTTTGTGCTGGATTATTCACGCTGCGTTTGCTCGGTGCGGCGATGAGCCGCCAGCTGCCGCTCAGCTGATGTGGCCTCACCCGGCCGCCCCACCTGTCCGTGCCAGCTGCCGCCGCCGCCCCCGCCCCCGGCCGGCGGCGGTCTCAGTGCACCTGGCCGGCCGCCCGCCCGCTGCTCCGGTGACCCTTGTATCCGTTAGTGGAGCGCCCCCCGCTCGGGAGGGGCTAATGACCTGACCGGATGGAGATATAGGGGGAGGGGGGGCTCGGCCAGTCCGCAACCCAGTTATGAGGGCTCGGAAACGATTATCCTGGCTAATGACTGCTATTTTCCGAACCCGCTGTCGGTGTACATTTTATTACCTATGTTTGCTAGAATTTTATTTTGTTTTGTTTATAACTACCTGATCGATAAGCTCGGTAAATGTGAGTGGCTGGCTGGAATTGAGCTAAAGCTAACGTATGATGTAGCGGATATCAAATGATTGCTCTGAGACTATCCTGAGATATGATTATTTTGACGATAGCCGATGGGAGAGAGCCGTTCGTAATGCTTTCTTTTAAACCTGAACTGCGCACTACTTTTCATACCGTCATCGGTCAGCAGGAGCGAACACTCCCTCGCGGCAAAGTTTGTCGAAAAGGCCAACTTCAGATCAGGATTAGCCGAGCTTAAAGTTAAGTCCCTCTGTAGTTATGAATATAAAAGCTCAAGTTTCCGGGCAATGGCTGTACTTACCAACTTCGCCGCTCGCACTGGCTATCAGTAGCCTAGTTTTATTGGCGCCCATGACCGGACGACAACGCAATGGCCTGGCTTGGCAGTGTCTGCGCGGGCTTCGGCCTGCTGCCGTCCGTATAGCCGCGGCATTGTTGTTGGTTCTTGTCAAACAGGGGACGGAAATGGAGTGAGCGGTAGATAGACGACTTGACCTGTCCGTGGGATTCTCCTCTTTGTCCGTCTCAGTCGGAAGATCGTGCGACTGTTGACGATCGGTGACGGTCATGTAACATTGCCTTCCAGCCGGGGTTCTCGTGTGTTGAGCCAGTCGGCAGTGGACTGCCGTGTTTCGGGGTACTTGGGACTTTAACTGCGCCATCGTGTGGCCCATTGTCGGCCGGGGCGACCCACCCGTTCGACCGAGCGGCCCGTCAGCACCACATGGCCCTAACCCGGCTGGTATTGACCTGTCGGCCGGCGCCTCCGCGTGTTATTTCAGTCCTGGCTGCCCGGCCCTGTCCTGTCGCTGCCGCTGCAATGCCCCGCCACTGCAATGGTCTGCCTCAATCCGAATTATAAACAGATTCCTTGTCATAATCCCTGTCCTGTTTTGCCAAAACGTTCTATTCTTTCTTTTCCTGCTCTGCTCTGCTCTGTCCTGCCCTAACTTCCCCCGTCCTGCCCCGTTCTGTTCTGCCGCATTCTGCTCTGCTCTCCTCTGTTCTGCGGCGCTCTGTCCGATCAGACTCCGGCCCCGGGGACCCGGCAGTATCCCGTCTGGTGCGCCGGACAGCGCGCCGCCGATACGGGCCCAAATTGGCCTCCGACTCTGATCACACCGACAGCCGCGGCACAGTTGGTTTATTTATTTCACGACCGGTGGCTTGTTTTGATAGATAATTTATATCGCCAACGGATCGGCAACGGAATTCATGCCGCTGCCATGTTGATCCCAAGAACTACTTTAGTTGCCTATGAAAATATTGTTTCCAGCTTGCTGATAACATCTTACGGTTTCCAGTGCTATATTGGGGAATGACTTTGCTTTGCGATTGATATTTTCGGTCAGGGCTAAATTTGGCCAACTTTTATGGAAATGTCTTTATCGAGCGCAGCGCACAAGAACTGCCGGTTCGCGTGATAACGCTTCGATTAGACTATCGCTGGGGGACTATGAACTTCACCGAAATCGGTCATGGTCCCAGGCTGTGGCGGGGAAGGGAAGGGGAGAGCGCCGCCAGCCTCCCCGGGGGGCGGCGGGCGCCAGGGGTGGCTCCCCTGCCGCCGGTCCAGCTGTCCCGCCGCCATTGTCCCTCGCTCAGCTGATCAGCGCGTCGCCGGCGGCTTTGTCGTGCACGCGTGTCCGGGCCTTTGTTAATTGCCGTGCGGCGCGGCCGGCGCGTGCGGCGCGACTCCGCTCGGCCGCTCCGGATCGATACGCGGCGCGCCGGCCGCCGACCGCCGGTTATCATAGCGCGGTCCAAACAAGCGCCAACGGCCGGCCCACTGCAGCTGCCCCCGGTGAGCGCGATTAAATAGTCTGCGCCGGCCGGCCGGCCGTTCGAATCAACACTGGCCGGGGCGCAGTCACGCGCGGCCGGCCAACAGCTGCTCTGTGCCGTGCGCCGCCCTTGTGCGTGATGAGGACCGGCGGCGCAGTGAAAGCTGATTGCGTGGGGAGCAGGAGGGCGGTGGATGGCGAGAGCTTGGGGAAACTGGAGACCCGAGTGGTTGGGAATGCGGGATGGGCAGCGGGCGTCAATGTGGCAAATGACAAGGATGATTGCTGAGGCAGCTGTCGTTACAATATTTACCTTTCGCGGCTTGAGTTGATGGCCCGTCTCGTATTGATCTCGTGTGAACGGACCTTTATTGCAATGTTGATCGCTAGCCGGCTGGTCTCGTCCCATCCTTTCGCGCCTCTTGAATAGGTCGTTCAACACGTCAGTACTCCCATTTACGACATTAGAAGGCTGTTTGGTTCCCATCGATGTGGCTCTTGTGAATGATCCAGGCATCGACCGGCAGTCGTTCGTCCCGACATCGCCTCTTTATCGCACGTCTACCGAGTTGTCTGGGCTGTGGCACCTGATCGCTCTGTTACATTATCGATATCCTCACCTCAGGTCGCCGGTTGTTCCCCTTCTGTCGTCGGCAACTCGGCAGCGCTCACCAGCCGTCAGTGTCATGAGCCACACTCGGCAGTGTGTTTGTCTATCTGTGGGTGACACACACCGTCGGCCGCTTTGGCGGTGTCAGCCGGCCATTTGACACGTCCGTCAGGCCGTCCCGTCTGTCAGCCGGCCGTCAGTCCGTCAGCCGGCGGCAGCTGTCAGCACAGCGGGGTGGTGCTGATCGGAGGTCATTAGCCGTCAGCGGCAGCTGGCGCGTGCCGGGCGGCGACCGCTCCCGGCCCGGCTCTCACCTGCCTCCCCCTGCCACGGGCCGAGCCGGGCCGGGGGCGCATCAAACATCCTGTTCCGGCCGCCGCTCCGCCGCCGGTTCCGGCGCGTCTGATCTCTCACTCGCCCTGCCCTGCGGTCCGCCCGTCCGGCTCGGGAGAGAGCAGGGAGGGAGGCGGCGGGGAGCGGGCCGCATCCCGGCTTCATCGCCGCGCTGTCCGGCGAGTGATGGCCGGCGGCGCGGCACGGACTCGGGAGACGGCCGTCGGCAGATGAGATGGGCGCCGGCCAAACAGCGCTGGTGACGAGTGGCGCCGGCGGCGCGCCTATCTGCCCCGGCCGGCGCAGTAAATTGCCGCCGCCGCCGCTGCCAGACTTTCCAGAGAGACGACGGCCGGCAGCGCTCGTAATTACCGACATTATTCTTGGCGTGTTAGCGGTACCGGGACCGGCGGCGGCCGCTGGCAGCGCGTCCCGGCCGACCGCGCGTGTAATGCTCTGAAGGCACATGGCGCTGCCGTCTCGGCCAACCGGTCCGGGCAGCGCACAAAGAAAACAACCCGGCCCCAGTCGGCGGCAAGGAACGCCAGTAATCCGCCGCCAAAGTAACCTGTCCGCGCGCTGTAAAATCTCTGTTATCTTAGGCTCTGTTTAGTTTGGTTGAAAGTTGGTAACTACTCATGTTTCGAGATCGATTTGATAGCTAAAATATGGTTTGCAAG